TTAACCCTTTAATTTAACTCTCATGAGTGACCAAGACATCATGTTTTCCTTACATTATCAATTCAATATCAATTAAGCAAAAAAGGGATGAGAATAAAGAAAAGTATCGTTTACGGGATTATTTAAATTGATCCAATATCAAATTCTTCGAACTAGCATCATAAGAATGGTATGGCAGACAGTAAGGAGAATTACTATTGGGAATTAGGGTCTGTTTACATGGAGGTGGGGGACCCTAGGTAGATGAGGTAACCTGTCAAGGTGGGGTATCACGTTTACATGACAGGTGGGGTAACCCGCCAAGGTGGGTTGCCCGGTCTGCCAGGTAGGGTAACCCTGTCAACCGGGGTGACAATTTGCCATGTAAACGTCTAAAGGTAGGGGAACCCGCCAGCCGGGGTCGCATTCATGGCAAAAAGCTCAAAAGCTAAACATGTATGTTTTAAAACTTTGTACATTTCCCAGCCGTCTCATGGAAGAAATCACCAGAAACCGGAACGGACACACAGGGAGCGCAAAATGTTCACATTTCGGAATATTTGGCGTTGTAAATCGACCATATTTCGTTTCCCAAACTATTCCTTATAACGTAGAAGTCTACGATTCCTCGCGTGACACAACGCGTGACGCTTTCATGAATAACTACATACATGTCCGAGAATTAATCTTTCGTCTTTCTCGAGATGTGAGCTTGGGACGCCTCTGCTCAAACTCCCTAATTGCAAGCGCAACAACAACCTCAAGAAACCTCACCCCAGCACCCCGGGGTTGTAAGATTGCATGTAAACGCGTTTTATTTTTCGACACCTCCACGTAAACAGGCCCTTAAAGGGTTAATTAAACTAATACATGCTGGTATGACGTGTTTAACAAGGGAGAAATGTTTTGGTACAGCATGTACTTTGTGCCCAGTCTGCAGCCTGTAGTCTCAATTTTGGTCTTAACAAATCATCAATTGATTTTTCACGGAATTTGAAATTTTCAAGCATTACGCACCCCTGCAAAAACAATCCTATTTTATTTATATTTTATGTCTATTTTAATGCCATCACATTAAGACTATTTTATTCTCTCAAACTTATATTTTATTCCTATTTACCTGATGGGGAAAATAGAGCCACTATTTTAATTGTGTTTAATTGTGTTTTACCTTTAAACCTATTTTAAAACAAGATTGAACAAGGTGGTGTATATTGTTTCTAGTTTCTCAAAACAAATGGAAAATAACCAACAAAACAAACTATTTTAATCCTATTTTCATTTCTTACATCAGTAAACCAGTGATAAAATGGGCTGTTTTATTTATATTTTCAGCTGATAGGACATGCTATGGCCATTTCCTTTGGAAAATATGAAAAAAGAGGCAATCACAATCCTATTTTATCAAAGAAAATGTTGAATAATTACAAAATGGGTTTAAAATAGACTGTTTTATTTCTATTTTTTGAGGTGGATTCCAATTCATTGCAAAATATGTATTAAATAGTCTATGTTGATTCGATTTTCTCCTAAGTATCCTAGACCCACAATGATTAAAACAGCAACTAGACGTGTGGTGTAATAACCTGTCATATTTTATGCCTATTTTATTCGTGAATTCAAGCTTGACTAACAATGTATTGTTGTTCTATATTACAAAATATAAATTTAAGGCAGCTGTTTTGTACTTGCACCAATCATATCTTCACTAGATACACTGGAATTCAAAAGTCACAGTTTCTGTGTTAGCAAGATAAATTGAAAACGTCAGACCGACGTTTTTCATCTTCGTTGTTGTAGCTTTCAAGTTTCCGATTGAGTTTCTTTCTTTGCCAAAGAGTTGAACGCCAAGGCTTGCCTTTAGCATCGAATCTCCACTTTTTACTGCCCGGATCGTTGCTTGGGTCATGTTTAACTGAAACTGATCAACAAATCGATCAGCACAGCAACCAAGCTTGCTCAGAGTGGGTTTTGAGTCTGTTTCCTCGACAACTTTCGGCCAGTGAGAGTGAGCTCACATCATTATTTATATCATCGTCTGAACATGGATCCAAGGTATCCATCGTCCAAACGTTGTTGTTGCTCTTAGTTGGATATCCTAGGAATTAATTGGAATTCCAAGTCCTGTTGGCTATTAACTTGGAATTTCTAGGTCTTTAGAACTAGAGTTGTTACAGTTGGGAATTCCTATTATTTTGAAACAAAAGATAGTAGAAAAATAGTCTGGTTGGCAAGTCATAAGTACTGTAAAGATAGCTTTAAAATAGAGAAAATGTGTATGCGATTTGATGATAAAATAGGATCAAAATAGCATTAATGAAACATTTGTTAAAAAATAAAATAGACATAAAACAGGGATAAAATAGAAAAAAAAACTTGAAAAATAGGAAATAAATAGGAATAGGAATAAAAGACCGAGGAATTCCCAACTGTAACAACAACTTTCCCTGCAAGGCTGTAAATCTAAAAACTTGCCAAAAAAATCCTAGGAATTTTCCGGAATTTTCAGGAATTTCTAAGAATGTTTAAGAATTACTGGGAATTTTAGGCAACTAACATGAAATAAATACTAGAAAATTAAAAAATCCCAACTAAAAATTCAAGTATTCAGTGAAATTTATTTACATGCTTAACTCTGGTTTACATGTAAAATATTTTTGATTGTATATTAACATCAACATGTAGCAACATTAGGATAGAATTTAATTCTTTTTTTTCTTGAAAACTTTGTAAGCATTATTCTCAGTCACTGCTATTCATATAAAATAGGCCTAATCAATTATTAAATTTGGTTTGACACAAATTGTGAATAAAATCTGTTGATTCTTTTCCATTAAATACAATAACTTGAATTATATTTATTGCAAGAAATACTATCAGTCAAAACATAGTCTTTAAATGAGTCATTTAATTTTGGATGATGATACAAATGATATTTAACCCTTTTGCTCCCAGAGTCAAGCTTTGACTTGGTTTTATGTGGTTGTACTTTCTTTGGATAAAGCTCTCGTGTGTAAAAATTAAAGGTAAGCTGTCAAGCAGTACTTTCATGTTTTACTGTTTGTTTTTGTTGATTCTGCACATTGAAATTCAAAGATTTCTTCCCAATTTTGACTTAGCACACTTGGGAGTGAAGAGATTAATTACAGTTAAATAAAATTGATTTTTGAATTAAATCTAGTTGTAACTGTAACAGTAACTTAGAATTAAGTTTCCCTAAACTGCAGACAAGTTGTCTACAATAAGCCTTTCCATTTTGTATCTGGATTCCATGACATAAAAAAATGAATGAGCTCAGACAAGGCCTTAGATAGCTGTAAGGAAAAGGGCATTCATTGGAATCTTAATTTGACAAAGTGCATTGGGATTGGGAAATCTATGTTATATCAAATGACTTTTACTGTATATTGGAGTAAACACATCTCTTCCATAGATTTTTACTAAAAAAAAGGGCGGAATACATTTTTTGTTTTTATCAAAGGAGGGCTTCTTTATGTAATCAGGTTTGTTTAATCACAGTTTGTATTATGAATCTAGAATGTTCCCAAACGTGACTAAGGTAATCTTGAAACCTTACCGATATATATATGTTATTTGCCGGCTGGGAGGTCCGTATGGTGAAAAACTGTGACCTCGGTCTTGAAAATACTGCCCGAGGCCGTAGGCCGAGGGCAGCATTTTCAAGACCGAGGTCACAGTTTTTCACCATACGGACCGACCCTTAGCCGGTAAATAACATATTTATTGTTTTTTAACTTAACGATATTCTTTCCGAAAGAACCCGAATGATTTATGGCCGTAAATACGGCAAGATCTTCCATAAACTGAACAATTTTTGAGTGAGTAAATGGTAGTTAAAATAGAGGTGATGCAAATTTAAGAGAGATGCCTCAGTGAAACATTTTCATTTCCGTAACGATAAAGGTGATTTAAAAGGCTTCCAAACAGACTTTGAAACATTATTTTTACAAGTATCTGTCACAATCTGACACCTGTCAATTAGAGAGCGCGCAAGAAAAAAAAAAGCGTAGGAACATTTGAAAACCAACAGAACTAGTTTGGCAAGGACTGTCACGACAATGTTTTCTTCAAAATCAGTTAATGATCTAACGGAAAGTATTATTCACTCTCATCGACCATTCATTTATGTTCGAAGATTTACCTCTGTTCATTAAATAAACGGCGAGGAAAGTAATTGTGAGTAAATTCAATTTTTTTATTTTGAAGTTGTGAGAGTTTGCTCGTTTGTTTGCTGTAATGGCGTGTTTACTCTGATCTTTCCTTCATAAAAACTAAATTCGAACGGCACACTCCAACGAGACACAAGGGAATGTAATGCGGCCTTTTCTCAAAAAATTCCTTCAATTTCTGTGGTGCAACAAATGTCCAAATTGAACGGAATTGGAAAGACTCACCAGGAGCGTATATTTGTTGTAGAACTTAAATTAAAACTTCGCTCGCTCTTTCACTATGAACAAATTGCTCGAGAAAATTCAGATATTACTTGAATGAAAGTTCCATCGTTCAGTTTAACTGTAACCAAATACCTCACGTTTCAACTTTCTGGGTACTTTTTGTGAACGATTAAAATTAATTGCAGACGGTTTTTAGGCCGCTTGTCAACCAACGTAATGACACTATTGTTTATACAAATTCATTCTGAAACCAATATTTTTCTGTCAACCAAAGTGATTTGATAGAGAGAAAAGAGAGGATTCATAAGTTATTTATCGGCTTGAGGTAGTAACATACGTGATTGCTTAAAAATACTGCCCAGCCGGAAAACGAGGTATATTTATGAAAAATGACAACGAAAGTTGGGATGTACTCGGCGACTCACGAACACCCTACTTACACAATCTAAATGGCTAACACCCACGTAATCTAAATTTAGATCAGTGGGTTGAAGCCGTCCTAAATGATCATCTAAGTCTTCCCAGTAGCTCATTAGATATGCATAAACATTTCGACCAATCTGATCCTTCACTCTTCGGTGGACGAGCCAAGGTGATCGCTACGAAATGCGTCGGTTAAAGCCCGTTTTCTTAGATGTGAAGAATATTGGGCGCGATGGAAAGAAAACCACCGTATCGATTCCGCTGAGAGTGGATCTTGGGAAGCAGCCTCATAAGAGTACGGAGGAAAATAGTCAGGACACCAACAGTCCAGTAGAACAAGATGTCCCTCTTGGCGATCTCGATAAGCAGGAACTCTCTACTCAACAGCAAAATCGCGTTTTGAGTACCTCTGCTAACTGGGAAAAGGTACGGGAAAAGTTGCTGAATTCGTACATTGAAGAACAGCATCTCCCAGACAATGTGAACTGTGTGAACTGTCAAAAGAGTATCGCTACAACAAGATGTGAGTACTGTGGCCCTCGCCAGTACTTTTGTGTTGGATGTGCACGAGCTCTACTTAACAAATAGAGAAGCCTTGACTGTGCTCTGTTCTGTTATAAAGCACGCAGGAAGCGGCTAGAGCACGAAAGAAGTGTAGGGAGAAACACGAGACGTAGTCGAGTGTTTCTTCCCACTTCTTGAGTGCTCTAGCCGCTTCCTAAGTGCTTTGTAACAGAACAGAGCACAGTCAAGGCTTCTCTATTTGTTTTATAATAAAGAATCCGTTAAATTCCCCATGTATTACTTTCAATTTTCAAAACAAACTTTATTTCCAAAGCGAAGAACAGTGTCGTCAGCATGCTCTATACTCTCATAGAGCACGCTACAATAAGCCAATCAGAATCCCTGGTAGAATGGTTCAAATAATCTGATTGGCTGTACAAGACCAAAGCTGTCAAAAGTGTCAAAACATCAAAGTTCAAAAACCATCAAAGTTCACACTCTATGATAGTTTACAAACTAAAATAATTCGGCAGGTTGAATTTAACGCTTTTGCCTGAAGTTTTTAATTCAGAATCTTGAAGTGAAATGTTCAGTGAACTTCAGCCGAATTATGGCTCATAAAAACACGCGGGTTTTTTTCACATGACAAGGTAGAAAACAAACTGTTCAAGGCGAGTGTTTTTTAAATGAACGACAGCCGAATTCACCGGAACATGAAGATCGCTCGGGATGACAGCGCCGCAAAACTCGGCTGCAGTGACTGAAGTGACTTTCCAGTCAACACATTGGAAAGGATATCAGAGCGAGCTCTTATTTTTTCACTCGAAGGGCGGCCGACGTAGTTTCTGAGGCTTGCTTTACTGTGATGACCGGAGATCGGCATGATAAGGGAGTCACGATGGACTTCAGCATGATCATATTTGCTTAGACACCGTCATGATTAGTATGAATTTTAACAATTATGCCAGTTTGGTTATATTTTTCATCATTTCTGTTTTGTTTTTGAACTCTGAACTTTATATACTATACGAGTGTTGGCTGTGTTTGATTTTCATTACCGTACGTAAGCTTGCAATCTAACTGAGCGTGAAAATCTTTAAAATTCGGAATGTCTATTTTGTTTTTCCTTTGAGGATTTTCGTATCTGCCCACGTTTTAATAACGTAAATAACGGCGCCTTTGGTTCTTCTGTTACTACTTGCCGGCTCGCTTGTTCCGAAATTTCACTTTCAATTATCGGAAAAAAGCTAAAAAGAAGTCCCGGAAAAGGTCGAACATGGTACAATTTGGCAGATGGCGTGACAGCTTTAGCTCAGTTCTATGCTCTATACTCTCATAGAGCACGCTCTTTCAACCAATGACAGCGCGCGTTATATCCGAACTTTATTATAAATGTCAATCGAAACAAGTTTCATGTACTTGAGCAATGGAAGGTGTGTATGAATATTTTGGGGCCATTTGTATTCTAGCTACTTTTAGTGTAACATATCTTGCTTTCTTTATTTTAATAGGATGGGGTATTTTCTCCTTTGTATGCAGACGAGGCAACTGTTAGCTATGGCCATATGTGCAGAACCGCAGCAGTAAAGCTGTTCAGACTTCTGGATGCCTCAGGTCAGTTCATTTCATTTATAGTGGTTGGAGAATACTAGAATGGTTTAAAAACGAAGCGTTCTTTTTCAATTTTATCTGTTCCTTTTTCACATTTTCCTGCCGCTTGCCTAAAATCAAGAACGCTAATGATCTTAATGATAATGATACGATTTAAATTCTCTCAACATGTCAGGGCCAGTAACTAAAATCAAACAATCAGATTGCTCCATTACCTGTCCAATATTCTCTAAGTATTGGACCGGGTAATGTCCTAAATGATCCCACGTGCAATTAAGTTTTTTAATGGCTTGTCAAAGAGAAACAATAAACTTGGCTTGCATCTATCCGTAAGAATCTTTTCTGTCATGCTGGGAGAATATTGGCCCTTGGACTTTTCTGTACAGACCTCGCTGCACTTGGTTTGTACTGTCAAGACCTTGGGCCAATATTCTCTTAGTATGGCCCTTGCGCTTGGTTAATAAGGTGTCTATACAGCCCTCAACAAAGTAAGAGGTATTTAAAGCTGTATGTAATGTTTTTTTTCATTTTATTTACTTAACTTCTTAAGTTGTTCATTTATTTTTCTATGAATGTCAGGAAATCATCACCTCAAATATGTACAAGTGTGTGATTGTGAGCCGCATGCTGTCACACTCTTGAAATGCCAGTTCTGGCCAGGGTCACCAGCAAATCCCACCACAGGATTCAGCTTCAAACTGATGGAGTTTGTGGAGAAGGTCTTTCTTCATTGTCAAGTGTCCCTGCTAAACATCACAGAAGTGATCACAGAACTCAATCCTCAGCTACAACCAACACATGTAGGTTTGCTCGCAAACAGTCTTTTTGAGACATGACATGACTTTTTTTAATTGATTGATTCTGGTTGAATGGTATGTTTTTTTTAGGTGAGCTCAATTTACAGTATCCTTAATTCAGAATGCTTTGAAGAATTCAGGTATGTTTGCATATAGGTTGAGAATATCAGAGCTGCTAATTTGTGGATGTACAATGTCTTCTAAGGTATTATTGATATTAGAATTAATATTATTTTTACTATTATTATTGTTGTTGTTCTTGTTATATTTAGTATTATTAATATTATTATTATTAGTAGTAGTAGAGGTAGTCACATGATTTACAAGTGCTTATTTATATTATTATTTTATTCATTTATTTATTATCTAGTCCCCCAGCTAATATAGATCTCAAACTCATGCTTTGCTTTTGTCGCTTTTGTGTTTATATGATTCAAAGATACATTGACTGTTTGCTTTAAGGTCAAGATTCCATTTACATTAATTTACAAAACATCTTTCTTGTTGTACATGTACATTTACTGACTTTCTTTAAGAAAGTCCTGATTGACATTTTGTTGTTTTCACATGAAGGTATTTCATGTATCAGTACAGGCATTGTACAAAGTACAAAGTACAATGGAAGTTTGTACAATGGAGCTTGGTGTCCTATATGTCCAAGGGTAACTATACATTGTAATTTGTTCTGAATAGTAGCTTGCACTGTAGTTCTGAAGTATTAATTTTATCACAGAACTGCAGTAAGTTCCATGCTGGAGAGGTTCTTTCAGCTTTAAGATCAAAAGGCAAAAACAAACTCTTTGACGAGAAAGGTGTCTTTGGGCGAGTATGCAGACATGACTTTCCCAAAGGATTCCATAACATAAAGCATGGTGAAAGGTATGGAGTATGTAAATACATTTTACCTAGTGTTGTGCTCAATCCTATATGTATTGTCTGTTAGAGAGTTACATGATAGAGCCATTATTATGAATTTGTCAAGCTGACAATTGGCACACTTGTATATACAATACAGGTGCATCCTATGATTCTTTACACTATTAGCATCACCATTGTATAACTTTGTTATTAATTTGAATGTCATATTATAGGAAATATGTTCAATTTGTCTTAGTTTTGTGTAAAAAGATATAAAAGAAAAAATTGGTTATTGATTCACCTTTTCAACAATCTTTTCTCTCTACAGAATATCATACTCTGTTTATGAGCTTAAGAGGCTTAGAAGTCTTAATGAGAGCACCAGAAACAGAGTAATCATCATGTATGACATTGCTTGTCTATTAGCACACCATTTGAAGGTAACTAAATTTTTTGAACATGGATGTGCAGGAGGCTAAATGGTAATCTAAAGTGGTATTTAATTATGTGGAATTGTCCAAAGTATTTTCTATTAAATTTGGGATGAAATAAAATAATTTATTGGAACAGACTGGAATTATGTGAATTGTTGAAAGGAAATGAAGATGTAATCATCAGAGTTATTTACTGAATTTTGAGCAATTGGCTTAATCAAATAAAATGTCATTTTTGCAACTGATGTAATTCCATTGTCTGTTTCATCACTTCCTTTCATGGGTACTGGCTTGCTCTCAACATATGGGGGTTCATAGTTCAGTGGGTAGAGCATTGCAATGACAATGTCATGGGCTCAAATCCCAGTGGGGCCAGATTCTTTTCTTCTTTGTGTTTGGTTAAATTCCCATTATTGCTTACATTTAAATTGCATGAATATCTGTGAGGATCACATCTTAACTTCAGAATAGTTTATTACTACTGACACAATTTTCATTTACATGTACATGATTATATTTATTAGTGTTCATCTCAGGAAAGCCTCTTGGAAGGTGTTGATGTTGCCATACCCATATTCCATTGCTATGGGCACAAGGCATCATGCCAGGTTAGTATATATCAGTTTAACAGTAAATGGCCTTGTGGCAATGTGAAGAAATGTGTGGCAATACCTCAACATTGGTTAAATACAGTTATAATCATACACATCCCATACTTACCCACCAATGGGTGAGCAGTGTGGGATCTGAAATCTGACAGCAGTTTCTAAAATTGAAAGCAAATGATCTGCAAGGGTCAGCTAAGCAAGCAAGGTGAAATATTTAAGCACATGTACATGTTCCTTATAAAAGAGTGGCCACCCTACATAAGCCTATCAGCTTTGGAAATGACCACTAACCAGTGAGCCTTTACTCAAGGTTAATTTTACCTAGAATGAAAATTAAATTTTTAAGTATATAGCCTGCAGTGCAGGTGGTTTTGGTGGTTGTCATCTTTTGAGTGTTTTATTTACTGGAAAGTTGGGGCAAAAATACAATGCGTGAGGAGGTCTCATGCTCCAACTCTCCACTGTTTTCCTAATTCAAGATGGTGCTTTGAACACTCAAGTTGGAAATATTCATTCACACTGCTAAAATCTGCCTGCACTGCAGGCTAGTACATGTATTTGCTAAATATCTGATGCAAGGTCCATGCCATATTAATGCTTTTATCTTCAATAATGGTTTTATCTTCAATATGATTGTCTGTAGATCCAGTACAGTCCAAGAAGGATCAAGGGAACTGGATTGACAGATGGTGAAGGGGTGGAAAGGTTATGGTCCTTTCTGCGAAGGTTTTCCTCTGTCACTAAAGAAATGAGTGCTCACAAAAGGACAGATGTTTTGACTGATGGGCTTCTTCACTATGCCCAACATTTGTATCACAAATTTGGTATGGTTAATTTTATTGAACACATAACTTTCACATTTCTGTGGGTTTTGCTGAAAAGTAAAAGGGATATCAACTATTGACCAGTACTTTAGCTGGACAGCTTTATCTACCCTGTGTTTTCTGTCATAGTTGCAATTCTTCATTTTTTCAATATGGACATGTGCAATGTATGTATAGATGTAACTCGAGGTTTACTAGTCTTATTAGTACACATCAAACTGATTCCTTTTAATGTTCACAGGTTTACTCTAAAAGCAAAGTTTGCAAGGGCAGAAATTCTTCTACAGGATGTCAGTGCAAAGCTTAAGGAACTCACTGAAAAACTTCCAGGTATACATTTTAAACCTTTTTTTTTTTTTACTCATTGCATTGAAAAACAGCACAATGACTTACATGCATGCTATATGATTATTGCAAATTAAACTTGTATTTACCTGCATGTACTAGATTGTGATGATGATGTGATACAAGAGTGGCAAAAGGAAGAAGTTGAAGCACTGAAACCAAAAGAACACGGTAGTTTTATTCCTCAGCATTTGTTAACAATCATTAGGGAGAACAGTTTTTTTTGTATTCACTAATATATTATTAATCTGTCACAGGATTAATACTGCAGTGGGACGAATCATATGTCAGCTTGCTCCTTATGTCTAAAAAACTCAGGTATATAGTGTGTGGAAGTACCACCTACCAAATTATTCATGACTTACATTAGCGAGTACCTGAGCTTTTCGAAAGCGATTAAACTTGTAAAAGGCGAAATTCCTACCTAACCAATCGTTGTAGTGGACTACGTGAAACTGATCCTTTAGTTGATTCATGGCATTACCTGATCCTTTGTGACCTCGGCTTAAATAGAGCTGTTTTGTAGAGCTTTCTTCGGTCAAACCCAGTCTGGTCAAGTCAGGTAAAAAACCAGTCAGCTCAGCGATATTTAATAAATCCACTTTGGAGCCAACTTCGTCGTTGTTAGTCATTGTCTCGAGGATAGTCAACAGCCGTAATAGATTCCGGCCTTCCCGCAGCCAGCGAGTGCCCCCAGGAAAGCCTTTTCCCAGAAGAAGTTTATCGGGTTGTCCCCCGTCCGTCCGTTTATTTGTGAAGGCAAAAACCTGTTTTCACAATAATATAAATATAGTATTCGTACACCCCTTTCTTTCCACCTTAGCAAATATAATTACTAAGTATTAAACTGAACATATTGTGTACGTATCTCCACCCATTTTTTTTTTTTTTTTCAGAAATGAATTGAGTTGTGTACAAGATGAAGATCAAGGGAAAGTAAAAGATGTTGAAAAGAAAATCAAACGGTAAGTCATAAATATGCAAATTCCTTCCCTGCAGCAACGACTGGAATAATCAGGTTCTGCAGACAGGGAATTAAGGGTGCCGAAATTAAAAACAAATAATAAATCTCTCTAACTTACATTTATTGTACATAGGAACGAGAAGGCCATAGTAGCCATGGAAAAGAAGCATCACATCAGAGAAAGATGGTCCGATCTGTCTCGTGTGTTTGTAACCGTTAAGTCACGTCTCTACGAGAAGAGAAAGAGCGAACTCTTGTTGAGTTTACATTGCATGGCATCCGAAAGATGTTTCTTGGTGGAATTGAAGCGAAAATATGCTGGTAATAAACTGAAGAAACTGTTATGTAAAATATTTAGTAGCGTGTGTATTTTGGTGATCATGGTCTGCAGTAATTCCGTCGTTATGTTGCTGCGTATGCCCGTTGTTTTTAACTGCGACTCTAGGCATTGTACTGGGATTATTTGAGTAGGGGTATGAGGGCTAAATTTTCCCAGTTCTCAAGTCTTACACATTTACATTTTTCCGTCTAATCCGTAAAACTGCCACTGAATTGCGTTTTTAATTATTATGAACTTTTTAATTTTCAGATGGCCAAGCAATTGCCATAAAGCTCGCAAAGCAGATCGACAAAGTCGTCAAGTCCATTCACAAAACTTTGTCCGAAATAAATGGGTATCTTCCCAATGATGTACCCCAAATTCTTTATGACGATGCTAAGGATCCTAAGAGCAGCATTTACTCTGAAGTCCAAGAGGAAGGGGACACCGTTCCTGCTCTAGTTAGGAGGCAGATAATTGACCTTTTCTGCTTACACAACAGGTGTCAGGAAGAGCTTGAACTGTTGAAGGAGGAAATGAATCGCCTTGTCTCTTTTCTCCAAAACGAAATCAGGCTTATAGACGAATCAGTGGATGCGTATCTGCCTTACACTGATAACCCTCTTAATGCAGGAGTGATAGCCTGTCTTAAAAAGAAACGGATGATTCATTGTAATCACATTTCCTCACTGCTGCTTTTATGGGGTGGTATCTTGGATTCCCCTAAACCTATTGGTCATGCTGAGGTAGCAAAAACCTATGCTAATTTGAGTGGTATCGACTATCCTCTAGATGACGAGAAATCAGACGAATCGATGATGGAGGAAGTTGTGGACGATGAGGCCTTTGTGTTGGAACTGACATCAGACAGCGAATTATCTGATAATGAATAAAACTCATTTTGTCTCTGACGCTTGCCAAAACCATACAGAAACAGCCTCTGTTTTGTTTATGTGCGCGCGCCAATAGCGGGTAAACTTCTCGGAAAACCCAACAAATATCAATACATTGTGTAGGATTATACTGACTGGCCAATCATCACAATATGTTTTAATAAATTCTCACCGATGGCAAATTTCATCTCGGTGGTGATTTGTAGCAGTTTTTACGTTATTAGGATTATACGTAGCATGTGTAGACGGCGTATTTTATATGCTGATCGGTGCCGAAGCTCCCTCAACGGACACTCGTAAGTGGACAGCTGTACTAACCCACCTAGTCAAAACTCCGTTTTATTAGACTCCCATACAAACTCTGTATTCTGATATTATTTTGAAGATGATGCATGGCTTGCTGTTGGTGCTAATATTCAACACTCCACAGAAGCACAAGGGCTGATTGTCCCAGTGTTTACTGAGTCAGAAGATGAGAAATTCTGGCTTTTCTACACTATCCAGAATCCATCAAAACTAGTCAAAGCTTCATTTACTTACAAGATAAAAGGGTATTGGCTTGACTTACAAGGCCAATCCAACTACAAATTACTGAACAATCATCAGGATTATGTTACTATTGCCAACTTGATCAAAAATGGACCCTATGGACCATTATATTTTTTGCAGGGGATGGAAATTTCAGATGACCAGTATTTTAATATACCTGAAGTATTTAACAATGCAATATTTGCTGCCTTAAGAAGTAGCACTATTATTTAAAATTTAACAATATGTACTTTTCAATTTAATATACCTTTTCTAAGAACCTGTTGGAAAACCAATTTTATAGCCAGCTGACATACAGAGAATCCTAAATTGTAGTTCTTAAATTGTTACTATTATTAAACTATAGATAATGATTAGCCTAGAAGTTTGTTTGCTAATTTGTTGATCATTTTCAGTGGTCCAAGTGGTGTGTCTACAAATGAATACAAAATCCAGTATAAAGTACTTTTATTACCTATTACAATAGGCTACATGCATGTCATACTTTCTAACAAAGACCACTTGTAGAAGCTTGATTGTACAAAGAAAACCAGAAACATCACATTTTGCCATTTTTGTGTACTAATGATAAGTACTTTTCAGAATCTTTGCCAATATTGTGTACTTTTGGTAGGTGGTAATAAAAGCGTCGTCCAACCCAGGTACATTCCTGTAGTGGACAACATCTAATGGGTCTCTTGGTTTTGCTGAAAATATAGGAAAAATACAATGTGTCAAAATGAGCATGAATTGAAAAAAGTCAAGAATGCTGTGTACAGTAGAGAAAACACTCATCTATGTAACTACAATGAACACAATCCTCTGAAAAACAGAACTGAACAATAAGAAATGTAATAAAATACCTATTTTCCTGATTTCCTTTGGCCTTTCCCTGATTCTTTTCACTCTTTAGCTCCTCAACTTCACTCTTACTCAGCTTATGTGCATGTTTTAAATGGTTGGAAAGATTATTGTATTCTTTCTGGCAAATCTGGAAATAAAATTATAGAAAAATAGATATGTGAATATTTCATTTTAGATCATCATGACTGCTTAGCTTGTTATTGCAAAATGACAGCTAGTTGAGATCATCATTTAGATAGGCCAAGCATCAGCATATGACCTGCAAATATCTCTCTACAAAGAATGATCTATTCATATGTAACATTGTTTTGTGCAAATAACATTCCAGATGCCCATACACAGCTGTGCTCATAAATATTCCAGCAATGCTGCAGATTGTTTCCCAGAGTTTTCAGAGTCATTTGACCCACCCTTATCAGAAAAGAATAGAACATCTAACCAGTATATGCAGAAGTAGAACATTTTTTTCAGTTATTTTAATACCCTGGTGAGTTTTTTAGCCTAGGTTTCCAACATGAAATTTCCCACATGCACTGTAGTCTAGCCTATACTCCACCAACTGTGCCAACTGTACTGGATGGTGGTTGGATAAGGGTGGTGAGATATTATGGGATACAATTCTAAAAAACCGTCTTAGGCTGAAAGAGCAGGTGAAAATTAGTCAAAAGAAAATTAAAATAGGCTGGGTTGGAATATAGGAATAATGCTTACCGTAATTTCCGGTCGATTACCCGCACGGCCGATTACCCGCACCGGCCGATTATTGCATACGGCGAAAAAAAAAGTCAACGGATTACCCGCACCGGTGGATAACCCGCACGTTGTTATTCAACTTTTTCGGTGGCGAAAACGTGACATTAAGGCGATACATTTCAGTCTTTCGATTCAGACATGTGCACAATTCTGTGTCAATATTAGCTTATACTTTATTGATTGATTATTGCTGCTGCTCTATTACCGATTTCATCGGCAAGAGTTATTACTCTAAGCTTATAATCAAACGTAAAACTGTGACGTGGGCGTTTCACAGCAGGCATTTTAACTTAATTGGTGACTCGTGGATACACTTATCGCGAATGATCGAGGTTTATAATTCTTATTCAGTCAGTTACCTTTTTATAGCATGTAGGAGCGTAATGAGCAATATCCATTGTTCATTTGTCGTTAAAATACTTTTTCAGCGCGAAATTAGTTAAGTTTCGCACCTATTATTTTCAACATTCTGGTGATGCATTTGGGATTTAAAATTACTGTCGGCAATTTCTCAAAAAAATCGATATCTCCTGTTCTACTGGGCCTAACAAGTCCCTTAAAACGGGAAAATTCTCTTTAGCTCAAGCTAGTGAAAACTGGAAATTTGTTACTGATGCGCCGGATATCCTTGGATTATTTTTGTCACCATCAAGGTTTTGTTTTCACGCGTGCCGATAAAAATTTGTTTGTCACGCAACTAATTATGCGTGAAATAAATTCGAGTTGGCATCATGTTTTCGTGCCGCTTTGTGGCACTTTTGATACAATAAAATTCATTTGAGAGGTGGAAACGCAGGTAGGTGAGAAATTTTTTCAATTCAACTTCCAGAAGAATTTAAAATTGTCACATAACCCGCACCTCCCTATTACCCGCAGTGGTGCGGATTTAATGCAAAATCAACAGATTACCCGCGGGTAATCGACCGGAAATTACGGTAACAGGTTTCTAGACGGACATAGTTTGACGCTACTCTGGTTTGCAGATTTAATGAATTTAACCAAAGAAGTTACGATTCATAGACCCAACGTTTCTACACTCCTGTCTAGTGCCTTCATCAGGGGTGATCTAAATGCTGCAACAAGAGGTCCTTTTACATGATCACTAATTAGGTTTCTAAACTTCAGAGATTTAAAATTATTTGTTTGGAAATGTGAAGTCATGGTGCTGGAGAAAATGGCACGCTCTCCACTCAGTGACTTTACATTAGGCCTTTTATGTTTCTTAACATTAAGAAGGGGGTCATGTGAAGGCTAACTAGCTGCAAAGGGGCCAATGATCCAAAAGAAGGGGAAACAGTTATGCAATCATAAAACACATGCAAGAATGCACCAGGATAAAATAATGATAGGACTAATTTATCACAAAATGTCATGATATATTAGTGTCTTGCAGATCAGTTACTCATGCCTTACCCATGCTAGTCTGCCTTTCGCTTTGGTAAATTGATCTGCACATTGTTTTGCTCACCTTTGTCCAATAATTTTAAAAAGTATTTTCTTATCGTATGAACAAATGGGCCAATATCAACATCTTAAAGTTAGTTCTAGATGTCATTCTCACACCACTGTACAGACTCCACCACCTCCAGGGTTTGAATCCTTTTGAGTACCAAGATGGGTGTCTTTTGTTTACATTTATAAATCATAGTGCTACATTCATTCTATATAGGTGTAGATTATATGTAGGAGCCTATTACTTTATGAACCAGATAGTGGAGTTGACCTAAAATTTTATATTTCATGCTTCATACAATGGCAAGCTTAGCTCATCCTCTCTCAGTTAATTGGCATTTTCTCAATGCACCTTTCAACACAAAGCCCAAGAAGAAGAGGGGTGTCTGGCTAGCCATGGAAATTTGACTATGAGGGCAGTCCCCAAGGTAGGTATTTTGATTTTTTGTAATGTCCCCGGGGTGCATGGGGAATTTTGGCACTTCGTTATAAATGACCACACTCACTTGCCCCAGTGTAGGGATTTTGATATTTTTTACCAATTTCTGTGTCCAGACTGGGGTGGCATATTTGAAAATTATTTGGACAGAAAATATAAAAATCCCCAAACCTTGCTTAGCCCCTCCTCCTGACCTCGTCTAGTGCATAACATTGAAAGCTGCATACTCACACTGCAGGGACATTTATAAAGTTTTTTCTTCAGTCGTTTCTTCCGCTGTGGTGGCTTTGGCGGGTTATGATCATTCAAATGACTTAAAATGCTTTCGGCCTCGTTGGACATCTTCATCTTTATCAATTCCATTGACATTCCTGTACGAATTGAGGTTGTCGACTCCACGTTTCGGATCTCATGGAAATGACAAACAAGGTTTTCCATTAAACCGAGAAAGTGGCTTCTTTGCGTTAATCCAATATCCTTTGCCACTTTCTTTTCTTGGCGAATTTGAACAACAAAATCGCTTGGGTCGTATCCGTTTTCAAAATGGAAATGCATTTCAAAGGGCGCAAAGAGCAGCGTAAGTTCGTGACCTCGCTCCCTGTGGCTTGTCTGGGGGTCTGGTTCCCAGTCCATTGATGTTAGAGGTAAACTGCTCTAGCATTCCTCAGCCTTCGATCCGAATCTTTCAGTTCGGAAATGTAGTTTACAGATATGCCACGCACAACACGTTTTGTGTTTTTTTTTCCAGTTGCAATGGATTAAAAAAAAATGAATCGCAGTGTCTCAGTGTCTCAGTGCGTCACCATCCCGTCTCTTTTTCCTCGCCTCCCCCTTCTCCTGCCTCCCACGTCTCACACCTTAACTTCCCCCCGACCCTACTTAGACAAAATGTTTCTACGTTTGGTACTTTGATCGACGGAAAAACATGGCTTCTCCTCGATGTAATGGAGAAGTTTCATATTATTATGGCGCAAGGACATCAGCACTCATTGTGCTAATTTCGTTAAAAGAATTTAGAAAAACTTCACATGGTTAGCCAACCTACAGTAAATAGCTGTTATGATATCTTTTGGCTGTTATGATATCTTTTGTCAGAAACATGAATTCACCTTCAAAAATAATCTTTAAAAATATCCGTCCGTATACACAATTGTAAACACTGATGAGGAATACGGTAGTTTAATGCTATAACGAAATCATGTGCTAAACCTGACTACTGGACTGTCTAGAAAAGGACAAAAAAAAAGACTTTTAGAACAATTTTAGGAAGAAACTAGTCGATAAAACTATTACTTAACATTAATTTCGTCAGGATAATGATATTTTAAGAAATATTTTAGTATCATCGAGGTTGGACTACGATCGACGTCGCGTGTGACTTGTGGTTCATTTGCTACTTGATGTACAGTGACAGTACAACACAACTTAACGAATAAAGCGAAGATCTAGAGTTAGCAATTGAATGCGTTAAACCACTGCGCAATATGCAGGACACTTTTGCAGAGTAGCACTGACTGCCTGTTTACCATTTCAACAACACAATCCGTTAAATCGCCTGAAATAATTACAACTTATAACTTTTTCTCAGTAATTCCGGCACGTGCTAATTCCGTTACGGGTGTGTCAATTTCGTTATGGCCTCACGAAGGACGTATACTGATATATTTTACTTGATATCATACAAAACAGAAATTTGAAATTATGTGGCTCATATTCACTATTTCATGGATGCCACCAAGATATGTATTGCCTAAACACTTTCAAGACAGATTTGTTAGGAGCATGTATATATATATGCTCAGTTAATGTGACTGCGTTCATAAGAGGCACTGTATAGTAAGGTTACACAATGAGATCCATTGCCATCTAAGAATGAAATGTGGTACATGGGTATATCTGCATGGCCATTTTTGTTGGACGGGTGATGGTCAAGCATGCAACGCTCAAAAAGCGTCACCTCAGTTCAGTAAGAATGGTCCGAATTGACAATGTACAGAAGAACAACGACCAAATTCAGTATTTGGCTTATCAACTAGAGTATTCAAACCTAAGTTATAAAGTGCCTTATATATGCGATAATTATAATACGGAGTTTATAAAGATATTCGAGGCACCCACCCCATACTTGCTAATATCTATTTATCTATCATTCCTTTTGGTACAGATGGACAAAGATGACTAATGTTTTTGTTCGACAATGGTGGATCTCTCAAAATTGATAACGGTGACTCATGGTCCGACATCTGTTCCACGCCTACAATTGTACCTCCAGTGAACTCCAATCCATACAAACATGATTTTCAATAATATCAGAATACAGAGTTTGTATGGGAGTCTAATAAAACGGAGTTTTGACTAGGTGGGTTAGTACAGCTGTCCACTTACGAGTGTCCGTTGAGGGAGCTTCGGCACCGATCAGCATATAAAATACGCCGTCTACACATGCTACGTATAATCCTAATAACGTAAAAACTGCTACAAATCACCACCGAGAT